TGTCGAACGCTCATGAGCAAACCATCGTTTTCTCCAGAGGATCCAGCTGACCTCATCTAGCTACCCGCTGGTCGGGAGCGCCTCAGGCTGGTCGGGCCGCAGCATCGAGGCCATCGCCACGATGAGCAAACCCTTCGCCCTGCAGTGGCTCGACGTGGCCGGGTTCGGCGCAAAACGAAGTGTCCAAAGTCCGTTTGAAGTGTCAAATGGGATCAGACAGTTGAAGGTCTGCGATCAAGAGGTATCAAGAGGGTTCAGATGGGTTCAGTTTGGGTGTCAGTTGGAATTGCACCCAAACAAGACGATAGAAGAACTCGAGATAGGTTGTGGACTTCTTTGATGGATGTTGAAGAACAGTTTAGACCATTTGTCCAAGCTTTTGACGGCTCCAAGGCATGCCAGCACTGCACCGGCCCGGGTCCGAAGAAAAAGGCATACACCATGTCGTAGACTGCATGTAGCAGCACCGCAATACCTTCTCACTGAACTTCGGGAAACCTCGTGCGAGGCCTGGGAAGAGGTCTTGGTGATCGTGGCACGGATCCTGGAGAAGTTCGTGAACCACATGAACCCCGAGGCTCAGAGGGGGGTTGCGTTACGGCAGACTTGGTTTTTCCTTCAGCACCCTGCTCCATGGCGCGGCGCGGAGTCGTTTGATATGTGGAACATAATTGCATCGAACACTCCTCACATGCAGAATGATCCCCACAAGAGTCTGATGATGAAGTTGTGGACAAAGGGCTTTTCGAAGCCATAAACAGCCTTTTGCTAGTGGTTGGTTCTGTTTGGTGAACTGTAGCCGCCCCAAACCACATATGGCGCCATAAAACAGTCCGTCCTCAAGACTTTGTACGGAAGCGCCCGCGTGAGAATTCACAAAGTACTAGTGGTTGGTTGATTTTGGGTTTGTCCTATTACCTGTAACAGTCAGTAAACAATGGACCAGGCCTGCAACTGAACCATCATCATCCACTGGCAACCAGGTAACAGGATAGACCCAAGCGGTTGATTCATAGAGGATACCTACCGTCCAGTCCGCGACCACCAAATCCGGTCAGTTCGCAGCATCGACACGGTTCTGCCCGGTTCGCCGAGTCTTCTGCTCAAATGAACCAATCGAATGGGTGCTCTAAGATGGCAATTAAGATCCTTTACAGACGGAAGTGGTTCTTTGGGGAAACATCCATTCCTGGTTTGATACTGATACTATTCAGAAACTGACTGTCCATCGTCCACCCCAAGAAATCCCTGCAAAGTGCAGAACGGGTGGTGTATGAGCTGTATGAGGGTCCTCCTCATTGTGTTTCTTCATAATCCTGCTGGTGCGCACTTTTCGATCTAGTTGAGGGATGCTTTCTTCAACCACGGGGTAAGAACCTCCCATCGCCAGTCAGTGCTCAGTGTGAGGCATTTGTTCGACTGAGATCACACTTATATTTTGTTATATATCTTCTTTTGTTTGGCCGTGGCGTTTGGAGCGAGGGGGGCATCCCCCAAAGCTAGCACCGATCAAAGCTCGAAGATAGATGAGTGGATCAAGCCGCACCAGTGCCTGCGATCTGCTGATCCGCAGATCGGCTTGTGGCGAGCCGCCCTCTTCTTGTGCCGGAGGATGGCGGGGGGACTCAACTGGTGAAGCAAAGTTTGTCTAGCCAGAGGAAGAAACTTCAACATTTGCTGCACAAAAGCGGTCCTTTGAAGGCAAGCCGCAGTTCCGTTTCGCCATGATCTGTTTTCTGCCATTCGCAAACATCTTGCACGGCCATTGGAGGACATGGTATCAGCATTGTGTGGCGATACATCCTGAGGTGGAAGTTCTTGGTGACAGGTTTCTAGGCATTTTGGACACCTTTCTGCCATTCCTCTATGCCGCTGGGACAGCAGGGGAGAAAAAGCAGGGGAGCTGCCGTTGTCGGTCACGATTTCACGGCATTTGCGGGGAACCAGGAACACAGCTTGACCCCGCATTGACCCAACCACCATTGATTTGAATGGTCTGAAGCTTTTGAAGTCAAATGATACCAGGTACCAGTTGTTGTTGTTGTTGTGGTGGTGGTGGTGGTGGGCGGCCGCAGCCCCAGCCCCTGCCTCGGAAAGCAACTTAAAAGCACGACTGCAGCAGGACAACAGAAAAACCAGAGGAGGACATGAGGCGGACAACAGAGGACAAAAGGATGAGGGAAGGAAACTAACACAAGCACACCAAGAGGACAAAAGAAGGACAAGCTGTGACTGGACAGCGCCAAAAACAGGAAGAATATGAGGAGGACAGGACCGAAAAGATTGTGACAAGCGGAGAAGAGGAGGACATCCGGGCAGGGCATGTTGGCGCGGCCTGACACTGTGGCGAGCTTATTCTTTCTTGCGGGAGAACTCCGCAAGAAGAGGACAGCAGTGGGGACTGGCTGGCAGCTGTGGCCAAGCTGGTGTCAACAAGACGGCAACAGGAGGACAAGAAGAAGTCAAGAACAGGACAAAGGGAGCACAAGATGAGGACAAGAAGAGCGCAACAGGAGGACAAGAAGAGGACCAGGAGAGGGCAAGGGAGAGGACAAATGGAACACAACAAAAGGACAAGACTGGAGACAGGGTAGTAGCAGTGACACCCAGGTGGAGGAAGGACAAGAAGAGGACAACAGGCAGACATAGGGTTCACCGGCGCGGCCAAGCTGGATTCCAGCGACAAGAAGAAGACAAGAGGAGGAAATGAGAGAGAAAGAGGACAACAGGAAAGCAAGGTCTGCAGACCGGCTGGCAGCCACGGCCAAGCTGCAGACCACAAGAAGGAGAAGAAGAGGACAACAGGCGGACAAGAAGAGGATAACAGGAGGACGACGCCCGCCAATTCACCGGCGGGGCCAGAGACTGTGGCCAGCTTCTTCATTCCCAAGAGAGAACCCCAACAGTAAACTGTTTTGGGAAGAAAAATGTTTTGCATTGCTTTGCTCAAGGCTCACTTCAGAGTCGTGACCTTTTGTGAGCGAGCCGAAGGCTAGAGTTTCATTGGCGAGCGTGCAAGCCTTTTGGTTTTTACATCCCTCTGAAAAGCCATGTGCCACGCCGCCCCCCCAAGACCAAGCTTGTCCGAGCCTTCAGAAGGATGGACACTCCACGATTTCAGTGAGTCCCAGAATTTGAAGCATTCGTGTCGATGTGGACGATACGGGAGCACCGCAAGAGAAGCAACCCCTTCTTTTGCCAGGAATGTACGTAGGCTGAGGCAGAGAAAAATGGTCTACCAGGGAACAGGCCCAAGATTCCCACTTTCATTTTGGTTGGAACGCAGGTATTTTAAAATGAGGCAGATCATCTCACAAAGACTTTGTTTCTCTGCCAGAATGAGGACCCTGATCCATGACAGACTTGAGGTTTATATACATGCTCTTGTATGCTTTGGTTAGTGACAGTTGCGCCGGCTTTTGTGGTAGAATTGGCCCAGATTTTTCGTTGGCCACGGGTGGTTCCAACAAAGCCGGTGAGAACTAATCATTCCCTGGTTCCTTTAACTGGGACCCCATGTGTGTTTTGTTGCGGTTTCCGAGGATTTTTCGGCACTGCTCAGGCGAACAACGACCGGGCTGTTGGAAACTCAGTTTCCAACCATTCCAGGGGACTGGAATAGTTGTCTACATTGACCTTTAAAACAAGTATTGCATGCATGGATTTTCTAGATGTATTTTGCTCTACAAAGGTTCTTTGGTTACCCTTGGTTTCCAACAACTGTTGATTCAATGGCGTTTGCTGAGCAACTATCGCTTTACTAAGAATTTACACTACAAAACCAGATTAGCCATGATTAGCCAGATCTTTCCCATGGTTTAAATGGTCCAACGGAAGTCTAGGGGAGACAAGATACCAGGTCAACCTCGGCGATTCCACCGGCCCAGGAGTTGACCGAGCTGACGATTTTTGCGCACCACTTGGTGTGTCAATATCAAACGAAGACGGGACCGTACTTGCAAAAGTGGTCCGAGCACCCAGAGAGACTGAAAGAGTTTTCTTTTTCCCCATTTGACAGGGCCCTCCAGCTCCAGTTCGGGTTTTCCATCTTGATCCGGACCAATACATTTGTGTTTTGGGGGCCGATTCGAAGGACATTGGAGTGTTGCACAGTTTTCTGAGCTCTCTTTTTTTGAAAGGATTGTTTGCTGACATGGATAGCCTCAGTTGCAGGGAGGGCACATGTTTTTTGTTGGTGCTAGATGGCATATTGTCAATCGTATCTTGTTTGCTGGAGGGCTTTTCCTTCTGCCCTGGAGTCGGCCATAACAAAGCACTCTTTCAAAATGCATAGGCGCTGGGTCAGCAACATCAGCTGGGTTGCAGGGTTGCAGGGGGTCCAAATTCATCGTCGACCGGAGTGGCGAAATCCCAGGGTACTCGAGATGTTTCTGGTGCTGAAAGAGTTCACCGAACAAAAGGCAGGAGACCAGTTCGACCCCCTGGAAGGCTAAATAGGGCGATCGGTGATCTCCCAACTTAAAATACGAATACATGTAGTACCACAGAAAAATCTCGGATCCATCCACCGCTTTTCACACAGCAGCAAGCCGTCATGCCTCGTCATGCGTGTATCCTGCTCAAGGGGTGGCATGGCCCATCGACCAAAGCAGGTTTGATTGGCCCAGGCTGCCAGCTGCCAGGTTGCGGCTTCCAAACCTACTTTCACTTTCAACTTCTTGAGTGAACCCAATTGAATGAAAGAGACGATCACCTCCACAGAAACACCGGCACTTTTCAGCGCAGTGGTTCGAGGCTAACTTCAATACCTGTCAATGAGAGGTGGTATACATGCTAAGTTTCTCTTGAGCAATCAAGCTCCTTCTTCTTTCTCTCTTCAATTTGCATGTGGAAGCAAAACACCGCCACTTCTTCACAGTCACTTTGTCTTCCTCTTTTCTCTTCCAAACCACGCCAAAGTCGTTTGACCGGCACGGCAAAGTCGTTTGACCGGCCATGCGAGCCGCCGCGTTTGACCGGCAGCACGAACGAACGGGTCGATGTCCAGTTCCAGTCGCAGCAGCATTGAGGTGCGGGAGGAAGCTGCTCCCGAACTGCCCCAGTTGACCAAGGAATCAAAGATTCGGTTTTTGGATTTTGATGCAGACCACTTTGGACCCGAATTTTATGGGCTGGGCAAAAGCATTTATTTTGAGGACGGACTCTTTATATCTATTTTTTGTGGTTTTTTGTGGTCCTTTCCATCGTATTCCTGTAGTGTTTAGACCTATCACCTGTTTGCTAAGAGGAAAACTGGTGTCTTCCTCTTCTTCGAAAACCGCCATCGGGATTTTATCTTGGGGCTTTCTACAATATGGGACGATCACTGATGCCTGAGGAGGTGACCCCAGATTTCTCAAGCTCTTCCAGACCAAATGAGCGGCATGTCTCAAATGAGCAGTCACCCTCCCACCGGGGTTTCGACCCCTCCCATGTTCTCCCGCCAGTCTGATGTTTGACGTCGTTGTGATCCGCCACACACAGCGGTCCAGTCCTCCAAGATGAAAGGTGCAGGGTCGCCCAGCACAAGAACGCCTCAAGAGCTTCCTAGAGGATTCTCATCAGCACTTGCTGTCCGACAGATGCCAGTGATGAACTGGAAGCTGTTTGGATGCCCACGACCGGCGACTCCATTGCTCGGCCTCACGAAAGCAAGCAACAAAGAACGGTTTTTTCTCCAGTGGTCATATGATCCTCCAAAATAGGGAGCACCTCGAGAACCACTAGGCGCCAACAGGTTTCAAGTCACATTGCACCGATTCAGACTCTTCCCATCAAGGGTGTCTTTCTTTTTTTGGGTGGTTTTCACGGTGTCCCTTTGGATCTACACACATGCAGAAAACGGTGGGTCAACCCGCCATGGACCGGATTTGCAGAACATTCAGCTCCGCCCCAAGGATTGCTGGGGCTCCACTCTCCAGGCATGGCTCAGCGCCTTCGACGTCGACAATGCCACCGGTCTGTGGAGTCTGGCGGGGTGAAGGCGGCGTTTTTTGTTTTGGGTCGCGTTTCCTTTTGGGGGTGAATGGGAAAAAACAACATCATTCATGCGTTATTCACAATAGAAAGTATATAGAATCATTATGACTAATTCATCATGTATCTAAGTGCTAGTGAAGTACACATGGTGCGCAGATGTTCGGTCGGTCTTTGGAGAGGAGGTGAGACTTTCAAACAAATTGATCACTGAGGTGCAACGAATTCAAAAGATCGAGTTCATCGAGATCATGCGACGTCAGGGTTACTCGGGGAACCTTCAACAGCTCTTCCACGAGCTGGAAGATGACTCCGGCGCCGCTCGAGTGTTGGAACTAGGTGTTGTTGTTGGGATGGGGGAAAAGACAGGCAGAAAGATGGTCTAAAAGGGATGCGAACATTTGCGAACCTCGTGCCGACTCGTGCTTTTGTTCCCCACAATGTTTAGTGGGGCAGTTGGTGGATGAACGATGATGAAGGCATTTTGCGAAGGGACGGTTATCCAATCGATCAATGGAGATGACAAGACTGAATGAGGTGTTTCTCGATTCACCCGGGAGCAATCTGGAGGCTCAAAATAGGCAGATCCAGAGGTTCTGCTATGTAGACTATGCTCAAGATGGGCATTTCAGGTACTTTTGCTTGTGCTGTTTACAGTCCATACTCGTATGCGACTCTCCTACCCTCCCAAAAAAAAGAGCAGAGTGTCTTCCTTCTTGAGTTTCTATGTGCACGTTCTACAGAAGCAAACCAGACACGTTCTTGGCCCCTCCTTGCACAGCAAAGGAGCTCTCCATGCACAGCATCGACCCCGTGCAGGCCGCCGCCTGGCAGTGCGATGGCGGACGAAACCGGCCGAGAACGGGAAGAACATGGGAGAACGGTTCATTCATTTCGTTTAGCAGAACCCCGGGATGGTCCAGACCTTTTTTTCGGGGTTTGGTGACTGTTTTAAAGTTTCAATCTTAGCTGGAATCCTCCCTCAAACAGGATTCCAGTTTAAAAGTGATCACCTCCAATATGGCACAACACCTCGCGGAAACACAAGCGGAATTTTGGAATCCTGGGAAGAGATCCAGATGATACCTTCTTGAAGGGACGACCAAAGTCAGTAGCATGAAAGCACAGACCTGTTGGGAGACTGAGGAACAGTTCATGAAGGGATTGTGGGATCCTTTTCCTAGACTGTTGCCTAGCACATCGTCTCCTTTCACTTTGTTTCCTTTTTCACACCCAGGAACTGTGGACGCGCTTCCGCGAGTGGTGCCGGAGCACCTTCCGTTCCGTGGAAGACTTGTTGACGCGCTTCGGGAACAGCAACGAGGCGGGAGACGTTCGTTCGAGTCCCCGACCCGACGGCGACCGGTGGCGACCGGGTAACAACGAAGAGATGGCGGGCTGCCGGGGTGGGAGAAGGGCACTGACTTGGGGATCTTTTCGGCGGGTGACTTGGTGACTAGTATGGTGCTACCCAATTGACCGGCGCTTGAACAGCTGCTGGGATGCACCCTCACAACGATCATGAAGCAGCTGGGATGGAGGGTGCTCCTGTGGAACGGAGCCCAAACGTGTGACGACCATCACGTAGCCTCTCCTTGCCATTTGGAGACCATGCCAAAAACAACCTGGAGCCCATTTGACCTCTCTTTGACAGAAAAAGATCATATTTTGGGTGGTTTTTGGTCCAAAATAGACGTCACTCAGGCTCTAGGATCTATTCTTTTAAACACCCTGCAAACGCATGTAAACGCTAGACCAAAGTTCCAGGAACGCATGAAGAACCGCCAGACCATCAAGGCCCGCTCCGCGCCCCTCACAGCACCTTGGATCGTCGCCCGTTGAATAGATTATGATACTGAAAACGTCATGCTCTTGGATTGTCACATTTATTGCATTCTTGTCTCGGGGTCATCATGCAGGATGGGCTGTTTCTTGCTGGTTGAATTTGTTGAATGGACCCGAAGTTAGTCCTGCCTCCCTTTGCAGACAACCACCACACCTAGTGCCAACTACTGGCATATTCGGATTTCCTTTTTTTTCCTTCACAATGTCACGTGAATTTTCTCACGTGCATGTTCTCCGTGCATTCTCCGCCGGGTTCTTCGTTCTTTGGTTTGCATGTACTTAAGTTTCCCCCAAAAGCTAGGAACCAAATGATTATTGTGAGCGTGAGCTATCCTGCGTCCTACCTAGCAGCATCCCGTACCTACTAGCTAAAGTTTGCTTCTACTAGCTCCCTACCTAACCACTATACCCTCCCTCTACCGGCTTTCCCAACCCCCCCCTGGCTTCGGCCGAACCGCGCCTTCTCTCCGAGGGGGTGCACTTCCGGAAGAGGATGAGGGAGCTGGGCTGGGACCTCGGAGACGAAGATCTGCTGTTCTCGGCCTTAGACGCGGACCGTTCAGGCTGGGGACCCGGGTGGGGTCCACAGTGTCCGGGCTTGAGGTTGTGGGTGGCTGGTGCTGGTCCACTGTGCTTCTCTTTGTTTGTCTTTAGTTGTGAAGGAAGGAATGAGCGGAAGAAAGTGGATGGACATTTGCCTTCCAGATCATTTGAGACACACCCCGGCCCCAGCAGGGGGTTTTCTTGCATAGAGATGTCCTCTTGTCCACTGCAACCATCTTGGAGTAGAGGGAACATGGACCATGTGGAGCATAAATTCTCCGTGTGAGACGCACCTTCCATGCCAAACAATGGTATTCCAGAATGTGTCGACAGCTGCCAGATTGACCTCAGTGTGCATGTTGTATTTGTGGATGATTGTAGTCTCAGCAACCAGTGAACCACGAGAGACTACCAGTTTTCTCTGCTTCAAACCACTGAGCAAACTCTTGATGAAAAACACCCTTCATATGAAGAGATGTCACAATCCAAATGGGGGTTCTATGAATCAAACGTCAACATTTCCATGTTGCGACATCCAAGTGCACACATTCGCACCCACTCTCGTGCCACCAACCCAGCCAATTTTCAAACATGGAAACTGCCGATTTTAGTATGTTTGAGTGTGATTTTTAGTATTTGACTCGTTGTTCCTTGGTTTTAGTTTTGTTTCTTCTTGGGGTTTTCTGAGACTTTTGATTTCGTTCTTCTGCATATCCTTCAAGGTGTTCCCCGAATCCTTCACTCCTGGGCTTCGCCGCGTAGGGGTGCTGAAGCGTGAGCATTTCCGCTGGCTGGATGCCGAGTTCCGTCGCATCCAGCGGAAGATCGACGCCAAGAGCCATGCGATCCACAGCTTGCGGAAGCAGCAAGAGAAAGATGCACACCAGGCGATGACCTGCCAGATTGACCTGCTTTTGGTTTGACGAACAGATTTCTTTGACCTACTGGTGACTGGTGAATCCACCAACTTGGAATCCAGATTCTTCCTCAAGCAAATGCAAGGTGAAATTAGGGTTTGGTAAGGGGTCTAGACCTGGTTGAACACTGGAAGCCATACAGCCATACCAGGTGCAAGTTTATGGGGTCAACCAGCTTTTGGCCAAGACTCAGAAATGGGTGAGAAACCAACCAAGACCGAGATGCAGGGACCCCCAGATCATACTCATACTCTTGATCATACCGAAGCAGGATAATGTTCCTGGATCCAGTTTCAAGCACACTCCTCCCTTATTTTTCAGGATCAGTTGGCCAAACACTCCTATGTTCGTGGCTTGCAGACCACAGCTCATAGCCACGTGAATCTGGGATTGTTCCACCCTTGGCTTGCTCTGCACAAACTACAAAGCAAGCAACAAAGCCCATGAAAGATAATACGTCCTTTCCACACCTCAAGCTACATCTATTGAGGAGACGTTGGAGCTCTTCAAACAAGCCTTGGTGAAGAAGTATGGGAACCTGGTGCGTGCCTGGCGCAATGGCTTGAGCAACAACGACCTGCTGATCTTGCCCAAGACCCAGTTCCTGAAGGCTACTTCTTTTGAAGAAAAGATTGGAAGCACTTGGGGTGAACCTCCTACCTGGAACTGGGCTTTGAAGGCTTTGAAGCTGTTGTGGGCTGGGTGTGTCATGTTCACCCAGGGTTCCGGACATGGAACTTCTCAGAAGTATATAGATCTCTTAGGATCTCCAGTTTTCACCGCGTTCCGGAGCAGTGGGTTCTTCCGACGTTCGCACAAATGACCCGTGGTCGTTTGGGGTCGGGCTCTCGGTGCCATGACCCACAGCGTCGACCTCCTATGTTCAAATCCTTTTTCCCGGTCGAATGGTCCGACAGAGTCGGTTCTGAAGAACAGCTCACCCGATCTTTTTTTCCCAACATTTCGTTTTTGCCCGACCAGAAAAAGAAAAAGACACACACCGCGGTGCAGTGAATTCGGATGCATTTTTTGTCAAGAGCAGGCCTGCTCCATCTTGGGCTGGGCGCATGAAGCAAGGGAGTTGTACAAGATGCTGGACAAGGAGGGCCGTTGTTGAGGGAGGGAGAAAGCTCACCATTTTGCCCATGTGAAGATAACATGAATGATTTCAGAGGTCCCTGTAGATGAAAACCAAAGGGGGTGGAGCATTTTATGGCATTTCAAAGTGCACCTTCTGAGGGAGGACAGAACCTCTCAAGAGATGGAAGAATTGGTGCACTCCTGTTCCACAAGGGATAGTTATTGGAGGGTGGGTGCCTGCCCAACACATCGGGTCCTCGCGCGTCCTCACGTGGCGGCATGAGTCAAGCCAGTTTATAGGATTCGAACTATCATTCATTAATTTAATGGTTCTTACCAAACAAGCGCACAAGTCTGAAAGTCACTGACCTAGCAGAGTGAGATATCGTGCTATGAAGGAGCGGCCGAACGGGAAGTGACCAAAAGCGACAACTAACTAAGGCCCGCGCCAAGTACGAATTAAGACACCGACCAATTTTACTAAAGATATTGCACTCGAAAACCAGATCTTTCTCATTTGTTTACATGGTCCAACGGAAGGCTAGGGTTAGTCAAACTGTCTTGACAGGTCGGTTCGATTGGGGTTGCAGGCACCGTTCTTCAACCGTTCGGGCGGTCTCCTCTTCACCGGTGGTGGCCTATGACGCCAGCAGGAGCAGAGCGGCATAGCATCTCTGGAGGAGCTTGATCCTTCAATTGCGGAGCACTTGGCCAAGTTCAAGAAGCTTAGGTTTGCTGAAGAATGCTATTCTTCTTTCCCCACCAACTTGGGAACCCAAAGGGGATTGATTTCTATTTGTTCCGGGTCCTTGGGCAAATCCAAGGAAGTTCCTGGAAAGCAAGTTCGGAAGTGCCCTGCAGGTGCATTCTTTGACCTTTTCAGGATGAAAAAGAAATCATGCTTCGGCTCCAGCCAAAGCAGGTTGCCTGAACCCGAGCAACCACTTCCAATTTTTTTGTGTCACAAAATGTCACCATGGTAGTTTAGATTATTGACATAAACGTGAGCTGTTTGGGCAATCAACAATTTCATATCATATATTGGGTTTCTTGGTGAGAAGATCCGTCTCTCTTATTCGTTTTTGCATGGCTCGTGGACTCATGGACATTGACTTGCTCCTTTGGTGGGTTGAGGAGCCTGAAAGAAGGATGGGACAGACTTGGGTGATCCTTAAATTAGTAAGGCACTTGTTACTAGAAGCGATGCACTTGTTACTAATAGCTTCTTGTTACTACTAGTAAGGCACCTGTTACTACTAGCGTGGCACTTGTTACTAATAGCTTCTCGGCCGAGGGGGGGCGGGATTTGGGAGACGAACCGTCTGGACGTCAGTGACAGGTCCACGGTCCGCAGACTCCGAAATCGGATGCCCCGATGCCCCAGGCATTTGCAGTGCAAAAAAGAACTGTTGGACGTCTCCCAGAAACAGCTCTGGTTGTTCCTATAAGTGGCTGGGACTGGGGAAACATCCAGAACTGTTTCGGGTGCCTGGTATTTTGTCAGCGCTTCGGGCTGTGAGGCCTTTGATGCCTTGTTCGACACCACGAACTCGGGTGGGAAGGTGTCCTTCGGGCAGTTTGGTGAGGCACTTCGGGAGTGTGGCTGGTCTGGAAGGATCAAGAAACTCAGCTGACCATCAAGATCATTTGATGTGTTGGAAGCGATTGTCGAGGGGTCTTGCCAAGGGGTCCTTTCAAAAAATTAATATTCTTCTTTGAGGACATTTCCAAGCAGTGATTTCTGGTTCCAAGAAGTTAGAGACTGCCAGGCCAGGTACTTAGTATTGACTAATGACTAGTGAGCTTCATGTGATTCTTGTTCGATGGACCGACAACGAACGCCCAGGATGACGTTCAACTCTTTGGACCGACAGGGGCGCAAGAGCCTGGAGGAGTCGGATTTTCGCATGCTGGACAAATGGAGCCCTTCGCCCTACTTCATGGTGGAAGCGAATACCCTTGCCAAAGAAGAGGTCGGCATCGGCCCCGGTGCCGTCGTTCCTGCCGGACTTGGTTCGTGGGAAGAATGGGAGGGTGGGTTTTAATATGTCATGAGACCTTTATGAGTCCATGTGTCCTGATTCCTGTGTTATGTGTGAAACATTGGTGCCTTAACCCTTGTGTTCTTGTGTCTTGATTCATCCCACTCTCAATTTATAGTGGGACAAATGACACACACATATATATATATATATAGTACCATACCTGTGAAATGTGCAGTCATCGTCGAGCAGAGTTTATGTCGCCCCGCTTCTGGCACGAGTCCAAGGGAGGGCGGGGTAGTGGGACTTGAGACGCACGGAGGAAACAAGGACAGGGTCCGTTCACAGGGTTGGTTGTAGGTAGAGGCAACCTAAGAGTAGGTCGGATAGGAGGTCCAACACCTACAAGATTCGCATTGGTAGCGGAGCCTCCAAACAGGAGGCAGGTTTTCAGGTGACAGGAGTGTTGACAAGTTTTGTTCACACGTGTTTTTCACGTAGGTTGCACCCGGGTGTGCATTCGGTGTCATGGCGCCTAAAGCAGCGGCGACCGATGATGGGGAGGGGCGAAGCTCGATCTCGACAAGCCAGCTCCCATGGGGCCAAATCCCCAGCTTCACGGCAGGGGAGACAGATCTGGAAGACTTCGCGAAGAAACTCATGTTTTTAGCTTCAATCTGGCCGGAAGAGCATATCGGACATCTTGCGCCCAGAGTGGCGTTGCAGTGCGATTCCGTCGCATTCAAAAAGGTGTCCAAGATCGATCCGGCCAAGCTGAAGTCCAAGGGAGGTTGCGAAGCAATCCTGGCAGCTTTGGGGATGCAGTGGGGCCGCTTCCTCAACGAGGATCGCTATGTGAAGTTCGAAAGGGCTTTGTTTTTGACTACCCAGAAACCAGATGAGAGCAATGATAGCTTCATTGCAAGACATGAGGCGTGCTTTGAGGAAATCCTCCAGAAGGACAAGGGAGTGACACTCGAAGAAATTCGAGCATACGTGATGATTCGGCACTCTCAACTCACCAGCGAGGAGAAGAAGAAGATCATCATCGATAACAAAGGAGTGCTCACCTACGAAGCAACCCGTGAAGCCATGAGACTCCTAGGCTCACGGTTCTTCCAGGACCTACAGGGAGGGTCAACTCGGAAGTTGAAGACCTATGACGTCCACACCGTTGATGAGACGGAACCAGTCATGGTGACCACCGAGGAGACCTTTGATGAGGAGCATGCCTACCAGACCCTCCTGGAACAGGGAGATGAAGACGCAATCTTCATTCAGGAGTTTGAAGAACAGATCATCGAGGCAGTCCAAGAATCCGGAGAGTTGTCACAGTGCTTCCTGAGTTATCAAGAAGCGCGATCTCGCCTGAAGGAGCGAGCTCGTCATCGGGGCTTTTGGCCCCCTCGTTCGACCGGCAAAGGAAAAGGCTTTGGTGGAGGCGGTGGAAAGAAAGGAGGAAAGATGTCTTGGTCAGCTCCGCCTCGCAAGACACTGGCGGAGAGAATTGCCAATTCGACGTGCAGGATTTGTGGCAAGGCAGGGCATTGGAAACGGGAATGCCCCCAGAGAGCTGATCGAGCAGACCGCCAGACAGAGATGGCCACCATGGCGGAGGACTTCACAGAGATGACTCCAGAAGAACTTCCCGAAGACCTGCCGGAGGAGATCCAGGAGAGTCCAAATCAACCTGAAAAATGTTTGAAACCCTGTCCGGAGTTTTCCATGAACCCCCTGGAAGAGTTTTTGACAGATTCAATGATGGAGTGTTTGGAAGTTGGTGGTTGTAGGATTAGTGAGTGTTTTGTGTCATTGGAACTCTCGGGGTTTAAGAATGCGTTGTCCCGCGCTTTGAACAAACGTGCGAGGCCTCACAATGATTTGAAGCGTGACGAGTCAGCCGGGACGCATGCCTTTCGAGGCTTGAGCCATACTTTTCCAGTGAAACCGGCTTCATGCCCACCAGACATCCACTTGAGCCTGGAAGAGGATTTTGATGAAGCCATTTTGGACACAGGAGCCAGCCGCACGATTATTGGGAGTGATCGGGTTCCTCATTTGTTGAAGGCACTCAGAGGTGTTGAGGTGAGAAGGGGACCATCGAAATGTGTTTTCCGATTTGGAAATAGCGGACTGCTCCATAGTGAAGAAGCTTTGTTCCTCAAGAGACATGGAAAAGGATGGCTCCGCGTTGAGATCGT